GCAGGGCTGGGGTGGGATGGGACGGGATGGGACAGGAGAAGGACACTCAGCATACTTTGTTCAGTTTTCAGGACAAGAAGGCTGATTTCACTCTTACCCTAGAAATCTCTGCCAAATGCGTATTCATGTCCTGGTCACTTACAGGTACCATTTGACGAATACCTTTGTAGTAGCTGTAACAAAAAAATTTAAAAAATGATTTCTATGATATATGCTGTATATTTAATAGTGATACCATATTTTGATCTTACTATTATTTTAAAATGCCTCCTGTGTAATGCTATAAGGGTTGCTTCCCATAAGAATAATGGTCCTTTCAGTCATTCTCTCTCTCAACAGCCTAAGGCATTAGAGAAAAGACACTGTACAAAAATGTGACCTCCCCACCCCTCCCCACACACACACATTGCCAAGGAAGAAATTCCCCTCATAACCCAGCTGGTAGCAAACCCACACCTTGAAACTTGTAAGGGCATAGGCTTACACAGCTGTTACTGCTAGCATAACTGTCCCTGTACAATTAGAAAATAAAATGTGAACAATTTATTCTCTTGTTAAAATTGACTTTGGGGTTTGATAATTCTCAATTGTGGAAATGTGAGCATTCATCTGATATCAGGCAAATGATATAGGTGAAATGAAAGACCCCCCAATTACACCTGTTTCACTCTAATGCAAAATGAACTAAGGGTCTTAAATAACTTGATATATCAAGTGTGTGTGTGTGTGTGCGCGCGCGCTTGATATATCCTCACAACTATATTTCATTTGAACATTTACCAGATGGGAACTCAGCATTTTCCCTCAACATACACAAATGTTCCCTTGCTCTTAATTTTAGCATTTCATGTTAAGTCATTTTATCACCAAAACTAATTTTGTCATCTGCTAATTTTGTACACAGAAGCCTTTGCCTTTGATGAATAAGAATGAGTGTTCTCTTTATACTTACTCTTCCACCATTTTCTTATAGTTAGAGATCTCTTTTGCATAAAGTAACTTGTTACTTGGAGAATCCTGGAAAATATAATAGCCATATTTTGACAATCTAGGAAGATGCTTTTTGTCAGATTGAATTTTAATGTATATAATAGAATAGAATGCATGGCATATGTCTTATTAACAAAGAGATATTATTAACAAAGAGAATTTTTCCATGCTGCATGAATGGGGCTATTTGACATAATGAAGATTAACATTTCATGAAAAATTATAAAATTAATACAAAATTACTCAAAATAAGAGACATGAAAATTTTGAGCTCTTATATTGCTCAAAAAGCCTTTGCAAATAATGCTTCATGCACTTTCTAAATATCATTGGACAAGCTGAACTTTTATAAAGTAAAAACCTCTGTTTTTGGAGGTTTTTACAAAAAAGCAAATTTTTACCAGCCTCTTAACCAGCCTGATGTTAGCTTTGTACTAAATGTTCAAAAAGCTGTTTGTCCAACATTTCCTGTAAGCAGGGGTATTGCCTAGGCCAGTGGCACTTTATGGCTTGTAAAACATGAACATGCCCCTGGTATAGAATGCAAATTACTTACTCTGCTTAATTTGTGCTCTGTTCTTGTGCAGGCATCCATGAAAGTCTGTGCAATGACTGACAAGGAAGCATCCACTACTTCATGAACATGAACATCGAAAATGAAATGGGGATTTTTCAATATGTTTACCCAGAATCTAAGAGGCAAGCTGCAACAAAAACAAAAAGATAAGTAAATACAGTAAATATATTCCAGAAAACTGACTTGCAAGCTTTCCACTGTGACCTCTTCAGTACATTTTAATTTGGTTACACTTCCTAACTTTAAGAACACTATGCCAATGGAACAAGTTGCCTAGGGAATTTGTGGAATCTACTTCACTGGATGTGTTCAAGAAAAGGCAGAACAAATATCTAGGTACAATGCTTTAGAGACCATCTCTAGAATTGTTTGGTGTGGGTGGCTCTCAAGTTCCTTCCAACCTCATATAATTCAATGAGAAATGATATCTATCATTTTGTTCCCCGTGCTCTTTTATGAAAAGACAACCCCAGAACATCCCGAATGGTGGACAAAGACACCAATGTAACTGGAGAATCTATTTGTTCCTTTTTTTACCTTACCAACACTTGATTACATTTTGATTTGTAATAATTTAGCATGGGTCCCTTTTCCTCCCACGGCTGTGATGTAGCCCATGACTAGCAGTTGGGGGCACTACAAAAGATCTCCCCATTATAGGTGTACTAACAGAAGATGACAACTTTAGAGACAGGTACCTAGATCAGGGCTTGCTCACCAGCATGCCCTATGGGCCCACAAACCTCCTGGGCTGCATACTGCACTGGGGAAAGGGGCAGAGCTGCCTCATCATGCTGCATAGTGATTCCTGGCTGCAGGCTTCCCCAGTACCATGAATTGTGCCATACTGCCCCACGCTGCCTGTTAGGGCCCCCTGCCTCCTCTGGCCCCAAGACCCTGGCTGCTACTGCAGCCCAAGTGCTGGGGACAGCAGCAGCTGGGTGGGAGCCTAGTGGCCACATGCAGTGGCCAAACTCCTTGTGGGCTGCATGCAGTCAGCTCCAATCTAGATGGTAGGTTTGGCTCTGTTCTTGCATTTATAGCCATTTTAACCCCCTTTGGTTAACATAAATATATTGTTTTAATTAAAACCATTTTCAGAATTGCAATTGATAGGGTAGGGTAAATGCAATCATTTGGCAATCAAGAAACTGGCTAACATGCCTCATGGTTGGCTATCAAGGCCATCAGTCAGCTGTGAGATGGAAGCCAGGATCCTTACTCTGCTCAGGTGAAGAAACTCTGCCAGGGAGGATTCTACTGCCACACGGCAGTTTTGAGTGCAGAGAACTTTTTTTTTTTTTTAACATAGAGTAGAAAATCTCCATACATGTACAGCAGGGTAATGTGGGGTGGGAGGCTCAAGTAGAGCATAGGCTTGCACACACACACAAAGCAAACAGCTGCTTGATTAATAGCTTCTGCTGGGACTGTGAATTGCAATGTAGCCAGCCTTAACGAGGTGTGCTTCCTGAGCCCAGAGTTCCAGGATGAAAGAGCAGGCTTGCTTAATATATTTTAAGTGGCATCTTTAACAAAGAAATCAATAGAATTTGGCTAATGTTTTGTGTAATTTCTCAAAATTTAAATGGATGCGCATGTTACCAATGGGTGCCTTAAGTGGCTTGTACTGTATTTACTTTTCACTTTGATCTGTAGTTACAGTACCAGCATTATCAAAGATTATGGTACAGTTTTTCAGCAGTCTAATTATTTTGTTCATGCCTTACCTATTTGTTTTCCAGATGTGAATGGTGTCTTCATCCTTGATGTCATGCTTTTCTGCTTGCTCATCAAGAAAGTCAAAGAAGTATTTCACAGCTGGTGGCACAACATGATTTGAATCAAGTACACTGTGAAAAAAGTTTTCTACAAATTGGTGAAGCGTACCCTGAAAGTGAATTTTAAAAAATTATAATTTAGTCTGCATTGGGAAACAGAGTGTTATCCTAGGTTCTCTTTCCAATTTACACTAACACTTTATGTTTATCACAGCAAATGAAGGCCTTGGTCTGAAGTATCAAAGGTGCAGGAGGCATGCAGTGACAAAAGCAGATTTCTTCTTCTATGTGTAATGATCTTGCAAACAGCTAGACAGTATTAGAATTAGGAAAATAGTCTTGTGCTGTTTTAAAGGAATTTGAGATTTCAACAATTGTTGAATGGGCAACACAGAAGTGTGATTTCTGGACTTGGCAAATGAGGGAAGGAAGAAACTAGTTGCTAAACATATTAAGATACCTAAGATGCATTTATAGGTTAAGTTTCTTTCAGACATAGAACGATAAGTTTGATAACAGGTTTTTAATCCGTTTTGTAGCCCAACTTCATGGTACACAGAGAAATATGGCAGATCATCACTCTAGCTCTCTTTTGATATCAGATCTTTTTGCAATATCTTTTTGAGTACAACATAATTTCACATATGAACCCAAAACATAGAGCAAAGCAAACATCAAGACAATTTATTCTCATATGACTTACTGGATTTGGAGCTACAACAGGTTTGGCATTTCTGCCCCAATATTTGGCCTGAGTTACAAGGAAAAAGAGGGGTGTCCTTATAAGTACCATGCAGCTGCCCAACATCTTTGTCTTGCTTAGGTATTACAGATCATGACCCCCACCTTACATGAGCTCTAGGAGATGATTCCAGAGAGGTTGCAGAATCTCCATTCTTAGAGGTTTTTAAGATGTGGATAGACAAAGCCTTGCCTGGGATGATATAGTTGAGGATGGCCCTGCTTTGAGCAGGAGGTTGGACTCACTAGATGACCTTCTGAGGTTCCTTCCAAACCTAATTTTCTATGATTCTATGATTCTGGCATACAATTGACTGAGTGTAACAGAACTCTCACCGGCCTATGTTCTTCTTCAACTGTGATCCTAATTAAAAGCTCCAGAACAGAGTTTTCA